ATATTTGGGTGACATGACAATTCTAAGCTCCTTATTTTTAACCAACATTAATAGGCCGTTTTATCTGAGCAAAAATGGTAGCTAATTACTGTTGGTATGACAATACGTTACCGAATGTATCTTTTTCTTTTTTTTCCCCCTCATTGATTGGAAGCTTTGCTCTGAACGTTGAGAATTGCAATCTGATTACAAGCCTCTAGGCTTAAGCATGGTCAAATGACCACTCACACACAGACAGATGAGATGAAAATCTAGGATAAATTTAATTCCGAGCGGAAATACTGAAGTAATGTTCCAGTTTACAACTCTTTCTGAGGTAAATAATTCAAATATTGGAGGTCAGATATTTATTTGCCGATCTATTTGAGTGAGTTTCATCCATCTCAGCTGGGGCTACGATTCACTTATAGTCGCGAAAAAGACATGTTGTTTCACTTTCCGTAAATCTAGCCCTGATGGAACTGCAACAGGGAATGATCATTGAGGGAAAACCCTAAAGAGATACTTTACTGGACTCACTACTTTGCTCGTGCCTGAATTGACCTGATGGTACAAAGTGATTCATTTTTAAGACTCTGTACTTGTACATCTTCAGTGATAAATACATAACAATAAATCTTGTGAAGTGCTTTGAGAGACATCCTCCCGATGTTAAAGGCGCTGTATCAAAAGCCAGGATTATTGTTATAATTCTGTTTGCAAAATAAACCATAGAAATATGACAAATAACGTGCAACATGATTGCAGTTCTTAATCTGTTAGGAATGACAGTATCAATGCAAGATACCTTAATTGTGAATCTTTCTGGGACCCATTCAGTATTATCTTCCAGAAAGGCTAGTGAGAGCACCGGATTCCCATGTGAAAAGGAATCAACAAAGTATGTCAATTATTGGAGTTAATTTTAAATATCCTCACCCACACCAAACTCACACCCATCACCCAAATCCTTCCAAGCTCCCTGTCTCTCATCGGATCAGATTCAAAGTCCTCACCCTCAGCGACAAATCCTTTCACTGCCCAGCACTTTCCTAACTTTCTGATCATCTCCTCTGCTCTCCTCCACATGGCCTGCTGTGCATTCTCCACCGCCCCCAAACCACCATTGGTATCTGAGCCTTCGGTCAATATGCCCCTAACTCCGGTAGTCCCTCCCTGTACCTCTCCACACCATCTGTGTCCCTTTAGATTCCAACTTGAAAAATCTCTTTGACAGGGGCAATGGTCAATTGCTTGGCATCCAACCCTGCCACCCTGAAGTTCTCCGAGACGTAATTCTATGTGAACGGTGCTACATAACTATAGTTGTTCTTGTTCTTCTAGCAGGGGATAAGTTGAAATTGGTTGCAGCTCCAAAGTTGTTACTGTTTGAGCAGATGGACATTGCTTAGGAGTGTGGAACTGCTTACTCAGACCGCAAGGAAAACAAGCTTGGAGGCTAAAAAAGAGGCTGAAAATTGCCATTCAAATAAGTATACTATTTTTAAAAAAAATAAGGTTAGATCTCTTATTTTGAATCAGATCATTTTTTAAATTAGTTTCCTTTGAGTCAGCTAAATTTATAGCGTGTCTTCGTTTCAAACTGTACCAGGTAAGGTGAGACAGTGAATGAGTTGCATTGAACCCAGCCTCTGATGGAGGGAAGGAACATGAGAACTGTAGATGTTACGGTTAATTGAAAGAACATTATTTCTGCTTCTCTCGTACATTTTGTAATGAAACAAGAAAAAAAAGCAGTGGGAAGGAACATTATTTCTCGTTACCTGCTTTTGAGACGTACCCCTGACGTGACAAGCAATATATAAATGTAAATTGCATTATATTGTGGTGATAGAATCACTGTGTTAAACTGGTATAGGAAAGATTTCTCCTTCAGACAGCTTGATAAGTGGGAGTTCAATCAATTCCCATGCCGATGTTTCGTTATGTTTTCCAATGCATGCATCACTGCAGTGCTATAATGTTATTCATTTTCTTTTACCAAAATCTATAATCCTTGCATTTGATTCAGTCTCAAAGTGCTTCACAGCATTTTTCTGTAAGTCACTATGTATTGCATAGATTGCCAAACCAATAATAAAATTGTCATTTTCAATCTACGACTGTTTGTGGGACATTGCTGTGCACAATTGGCTGCCACGTTCGCCCACAAATATACAGTCAATTCACTTTACAGTGTGTTCTGTGAAGCGCTTTGGGACGTCCTCCCGACGTGAAAAGCTCTATATCAAATGCAAAGATTATTATTATTATTTTTATTGTTATGAATGCCGCAGTCAATTTGCACACAGCGATGTCCCACTAACAACCATGAAGTGAATGAACAATTTTGTCTGGAGGCTGGTCGGCCAGCACACTGGGTGAAACACCCTTCTCAACACAGCACACGTGGAATTCCTGGAAAAAACACCTTTAAAAAGTGGTCTCCAATAGTTTAATATTTGCTTTGTATCATGTGGCTAATTGAAAAGCGGGCATCGTGGGTCTGTGTGTCCGTGCAACGCATTAATGTTTTGTGGAGGGCCACATTCCCAACCTATTTGAGTGTGCTCTACTCTATGCGCTGTGTGTTAGGATTCTGGTCAATGATTTCACCATACAATGAACTCCAGCTGCCAGGTAGAGATATTCTTCACAGGAAGAGGGAGTGGGGTGGAAACTATATTTATGGATATTGGAACCAGCCTGCTTACAAACTGCATTCTCATCTTTTGCTGGAGAAACAGAAAAAGAGAGGAAACATCATTCATTTCCAGATTGGTCAACATTTATAATAATAATAATCCTTGCATTTGATATAGCGCTTTTCACGTCGGGAGGACGTCCCAAAGCGCTTCACAGAATACACTGTAAAGTGAATTGACTCTATATTTGTGGGCGAACGCGGCAGCCAATTGCGCACAGCAATGTCCCACAAACAGTCGTAGATTGAAAATGACCAATTTATTATTGTTTTTGGTTTTGGAGGGATTATTATTAGGCTCTGTGTGGAGTAAGGAAACTTGCCCAAGGTTTCGCCCTCTGCCTGGAATTGAACTCAGGTCTCTCGCTTGCAAAGCGAGTGCTCTAACCACTGAGCTACAGGACTCCACCCAGTGTCTAGAGTAGCATGTGGAGTAACAAGTTGGCCAATGCCCCTGAAGATCTGAAGGGACAAAAGTGGCAGTGGTATACTGATCAAAATATACAGTATATTCTGTGAAGTGGTTTGAGACACTTCAATGACGGGATAAGGTGCTATATCAAATGCAAGGATTATTTTTATTATCATGTAATCTTGAGAGGTTTATCTTGCATCAAATCTTCAGTGTTCATGGCTGTAACAAGTCTAATCAAAACCAGGGATAAGTAGACCGAACAGAACAAAAGGATGTTAATTCATCGTTCAGTGGAGTCCTAATGAAGCTTCCTTCGGAAAGTAAAGAAACAGAAAGAAAATAATGGTTTATTCTTGTACTAACCCCGAACATTTTATAACCTTTGTTTGGCAAGACCAGAAGTGTCATTAAAGTCTATTAATTTATGTCAGTTCATTGGGGACCACTTCCCTTAGATTGCCTGTCCTCCTGCTACATTTTGTATAGTTTCATGATCGAGTGATGTTGCCTGGTAATTTCACCTTAGATGGTCTATTGTGAGCTTTGCACAGCATGAAACCACTTGGAAAAATATGTGGGGTGTATTCAACTCTAAGCTGATTTCATTGCCTGTGATTGTAAAAACAGCCCTGATTTATGTGAAGTTAAATTTAACCCTTCCACTGTTTCGATGCACAACAGGAAACAGGTGTTGTTCTTATAAACAGCTGAATGTGTATTAATGACTCCTGTAGGATCAATTTCTGGCTTGTTTTTTTCTCTGAGGAGAGATACAGAAATACATCTCTTTTCATTATATTTTTATTCTCGCTGGCTGCACTCTGATTGATTCATCAATCACATTTCGAAGATGACATGGCATTTGAAAATACAGCATTTTGATTGAAAATGGGCTCAAATTACCGGCAAAATAAGGTAGTAATGGTAGCAGGAACGCTATCTGGTTTCTATTTAACATCTGTATCGCACAAAAAAAAAGATTTGTCGATTGGAGATGCATTATCTTCTTGAAGAGCAGGATAGGATTTTTGTGTTTTAGAAGCTTACACACCTTTTTATGAGGGTGAGTTCTGTATTTTGATCACAAATTGTTTTGTTTCTTTCCTTGCCCTGGATGATCTACTCTCAGTTTGTGGCAGTTTCCAGGAGTTTACGAGAGTAATCTGCTGGCAGTTCCCCATCTTGAATGATTTGCGTACACACACCACACGTACCTGCTTGTTAGTCGATTGACATAATGCTTTTCTGGGGTAATCTTTTTTTAAAAATTGTTTTTTTTAAAAAAATAATAACTTGGTCATTCAATCCACAACCGTGAGACACTGCTGTGTGCAATTGGCTGCTGTGATTTGCCCAATTCTTCACTTTGCAGTATATTCTGTGAAGCACTTTGAGACGTCTCAATGACGTGATAAGGCGCTATATCAAATGCAACGATTATTATTATACCATTTGATTGACAACTCCCTACAGTCAATTTGACTGAGATCAGAAACTCAAAGGAATAGTTAATTGAACCTGTGTCCCACTACTTCCGTGTGCCACTACTCCATTGTGTGGCACTGCCCTGCTGTCAACACAGCCTACATTCTTATTAAAATCACTAATGTTCTCCTGGGTAACTGTTCCATTAGGATGGTAATTTTATATCTAACCCCTTACTTTCCTTAATAAAAGCAGAATAAAATAAAATATGTATTGTTGCTTGGACTAGATAAAAAGGTAGCAAATATAGTTTGTTATAGCAAGAAAAAGCAGGCTGAATTAGTACATTAGGTGGTTGCCATGAGTGACCCACTTACTGTACAGTGCAACATACAAATCAATACCAGTTTATTGTAATTTAAAGGCCACCTATTACTTTTTGCAGAACCCATAGTAAAATGATCTCCTGTCTTCCAGGTTCCCAGATCATTGATCTGATGATGCTGGTCATTGATGTGACAAAGGGGATGCAAACACAATCTGCAGAATGCCTGGTAATTGGTGGAATTACCTGCCCGAAAATGGTGGTGGTGCTGAACAAGATTGATATGCTACCTGAGGCAAAGAGGCAAACAGCCATAGAAAAAATGACCAAGAAAATGCAGAAGACTTTGGAGAATACAAGGTACAAGACTTAAAGGTTGTGGTTTCAGGTTGGGATTTTGAGCCCATAGTCAAAGCAGATGGTCCAGTGCAGTGCTGGGGGGAACTCTGCATTGTCAGATGTTCTGTCCGTTGGTTGCAAAGTTAAACTGAGGTCCCATCTGCCAGTTCAGGGAGATGTTAAGATCCCATGACATTACTCAAAAAGAGAAGGGAGTTTTTCTGGTGTGCTGGTCAGCAACCCCCAGATCTACAAGTAATTGGTTGTTACTTTATGGCAGTTTGTGAGAATGCCGCATTTGTCCACAAATAAACAATCACTACACTGTACATAAAACTCTGTGAAGCACTTTAAGACATTTAGATGCTATGTCAGATACAAAGATGATAATTATTATTGATAATAATAAGCGTGGCCATCGATGCACATTTACAACTTGTCTTTGGCCATAGTTTTTAAAATGAATCATGTCACAAAATGTTAAACACTAAAGGTTGCTCTTCAGTAATTACACTTGTGACTTACAAAATACCCATTGGAGGTAGCTCAACCAACTGGGAACTCTGAGGAACTCCAGTCTCATGAAGACCTTTTCTCTTGACCATGTTTTTTTTCCAGTTGAATTCTGTCAATTGAAAACTCCCCAAAAAATGAATGGGTGATCAGATAGCGAATCACCACAACCGCTTTTCCAACTCTTCACCTGCTTCTCCAGAGTTATTCATGGACAAGTCTAGTCAGCTTAGAAGAAACCATTCATTATGGTATTTTAGGTTACTCTGTATTTCGGATTATAGCACCTGATTGAGGAAGAGAAGGAGGAAGCTTTGAACTTGTCTTTGACTTGAGGTTTGGAAGTGGTTGACATTGATATAGAGTCAAAGTGGTTAACTCCTAGATTTAGAATTGTTCACCTTAAAGAATACAGAATATAAATCCAGAATGGGATCAAATTCTCTCTTTCAGCTCTCGTCACAAATGCCATGCTGTGGTAGTTGGGGGTCCCTGCTCCGAGATAGGCAGCATAACATAATAGAGAGGGGCTTGAATTCACTCACACCATTGCTCTGAATGTCTGAATAGGGTTCAACGTCTCATTCATGACATTCGCTTGCTTGAGTTGAAAAATACAGGGAGAATAAACTCAAATTAGGAGAGAGAATGAGAATGTGTACATCTGTGTGTTTTAAGTACGTGGACCCAATACGAAACAACTCATCCTCAGTGTTAAGTCTAAATGTTAAAAAATGGTCCTTTTGAGTTCCCAGCTCTGAAACAAATTAAATTCATCGCCCCCGGCACTTGAAGGCGTAGATACATGCAGAGATTGAAAGATGTTCTGAAAGTATTTCTACAAGAGCATAAAGATGAATTGCTTTATTGTTCTCCAAATATCAACAAGGTCCTACTGAATTTTCGTGACCAAACATGCAGAGTTCAAAATTTGTTGTTATAATTGCCCCTTTAGGGTTGAACAGTCTTTTTTTTGCCTGTGCAGATGTAGTTATCTAATTTATTAATTTACGTTTTAGTATACCCTGCCTGTGGGCAAGTACTGAACTCCAAGCAGCCTGTTGAATTTGAATAAGTTTGGAATGGAAATGTATTTAGCAAGACGGGATATGACATTATTTGCCCAATACATCTTGTTTAAATTGCAATTAATCTATTTATATAGCAATGTCTCATTCTCAATGAGTTTAAAAACATTTGTTTTATGTGCTTTCTGTGCAATAAAGAGCTCCTTGGCATTTTCAAAGCAGAAGGGAAAAATCAAATCTGCTTAATATTTGAACAGAATTGTTTTGTAATCTTTATTTCAAGTTGTAAAGAGTTTTTATGTGGTTAGACCCACTAATGACTGCAATTGGTATCAAAAACATGGATTAAAAAAAACTGTGTGCCTCTTTTATGTATAAAGTGGATCTTTCTGTAAACAATTTACCCAAGTGATGCATAAAAATGCTCCTTTTGGCAAACTGTTTACCAAACTGAAGTGTTTAATCCTTTACTTTTCCAAAAAACATACTTTCCTAAAAAACAAACTTGTATAAAATGAATGTACTTTACACAACAACATTCTAAAATGTGTAAATTTATAGATTTCGATGGCTGCCAACAATTCACTTGTACACGTTTAATTTGTCTTGATTTTTATTGACTTCTTCACAAGAGCTTCGCTGAATAGGAAGATATATTTATAAGCCGGTTCCCGATTTCAATTGAATTTGAATCGCTCCTCGACTCTTTTCCCATTCACTAATCTGCTGTTTTGGATAGGAAGGCTTGATCCCTGTTTAAAATCAATTTTATTCTCGTTAAATCTTATTTCTGGGTCAGAAGGTTGGGTTCAAGCCCCACATCAGTTCTTAACCTTTGACACTTCCCCAGTTTTGGTACAACTTGGGCAAACCCACCACCAACTGCTTATCCAGTGCCTTTCTCCTCTTTGGCTGGTGTTTGGCTGGCAGATGTGCACAACATCTGCTGGTTACCCACAGACTAGAGCATTAGCCTTTTAAACTGCCTGCTTTACTGCTTTTCCACATGTGGATTCGTACATTGAGCCGGGATTTACAGCACTAGATCTTTGTACAAACAAGATGTGTAAAGAGGGGATTCAAAGTAAAGTTGGAGACTTTGAACCACAGCTGATTTTTATTATGCTGTCTCAATATTATTAACTGTGTTCTGATGAATATTGTCCCCGGTGTTGGGTTTCAGTACAAGAAAATGTCAAACCTCACATGAATACATTTTGTTTTCTGGTCAGCCGGGTGTCTGACACATGCGGAAACCCATCACTGTGCTGAAGAGCATCCAAACGAATTAGTGCTGTGAACTGATTCTAAAGAACACACTGAATTCTCCGGAGCTTTGTAACTGTTGTGGTTAATATCCAAACATAAGGGAGGCAACAATCTCTTAATTGTTATCTTTCAACAATTTTATTCAGGTCATCTATTTAGATTGTCATTTTAGCATCTCACTTAAACTGTCACATTTCAGAAACAATGTATTGTCAGACAATAAAAGGAAAAATTCTTCCAAAATGCACAGTAGATTTCAACGGCAACCTTTGTACTTGCGAGATTTTGCTCGGTGTCTGACCCCGTTATTGGGAAGTGCTCCAACAAGTTATCCCATGTGAATTGCCGCTGAATCAATTACAGGCTTCACTGTCCTTCCCAAAATGTTCACAGTTATTCTTTGGGTCACATAACACCATGTGTAGAGCCAGGTTTAAGGAGATTCCATTCATGATGGAAAATAGCAATTTAAATATTATATAATTGTTTCTAGTTTCCTGATTTCACTTTCCTCTGCTTCTTCTTTCCTGATAACTCTGACACATCCTCAGATACAGAGCACCAGGCACCACTGGTAATTTGCTCAACTATCTTATTTATCATGTGTGAGACTAGAAAGTGAGCATTCAACTTCAGGGATATTACAGCTGGGCTGAGTTTATCCTCCAAGAGGTCTAGGTGTTATCTTGGTACCATTTCGTCCACAAAATACAGTCAATCCACTTTATAATCTGTGAAACGCTTTGAGACATCTTAACGATGTGATAAGGTGCTATATCAAATGCAAGGATTATTATCGCTATTATAATAATATAATAAGCGCTCCGAGACACCGTCCGGCATGAAGGGTGTTATGTAAATGCAAGTTGTTGTTGATATTATTATTATTACCTCTAACATTAGTCACCAGGGAGCTTGTAACATGTTTTGCTGTCTGATTTTGCTGGGATCTTTCACTATTATGATTCCAGAAATCACTGCAGGGCTAAGAAAAAGACTGTAATTTTATACAAAGACCACCCGAGTTCTGAGCATTATGACCATTGCACTCCCAGATGTTCCCATAAGAATGAAAACTTCTGTTTAAATGTCTGACTGTTGAAGACTTGACACCAACCAGAGACTGGCTAAACCACAATAACAGTGTTTTAAGAAGCACTTCTCTGCCTTGGCCATTAATGTGTCAAGTGGAATAAAGTGTTTAGCAACTGCACGATTTGAAAGCGTCACAATTTTTTTTATCAGTGTTTGTTCAAAACTCTGATCAGTGTTGCCACTGATGGCTTGTAAGACTAATCTGTTCCACTTCCCCAATCGTGAAAGGTACAGAACATCATAACATTGTCTCTTGGTGCAGTAAAGATGTGCCAGCAGGTTAAGTCTCCCGAGTCTTTGCCAGTGAAAGTTTTTGTGTTGGCTAAACTAACATTTAACATGTCCCAAATGAATTACATTTCCTCTGGCTGATTGCAGATTGGCAGCGATTGAGGTTGTGGAGCTGTGTGGAGCACAGATCTCGAATCTTCTGAATTGCAAAGGTGTGATGAGCAACCTTGTGTATGTGTGGTGGGGTGGGGGCACAGAGAGGAGAGAAATAGAATAAACAGTTTCTCTCAGGAGACGTTTGGTAAGCCGAACTCATTTACTTGGTTCATAGAATCATAGAATCTCACAGCACAGAAGGAGGCCATTCGGCCCATCAGCTCTTTGAAAGAGTTATCCATCTAATCCCACTCCCCCGTTCTTACCCCCTAGCTTTGCAAATTTTTCCTTTTCAAGTACCTATCCAATTCCCCTTTGAAAGTTGCTATCGAATCTGCTTCCACCACCCGAGGTGAAAGGCGCTATACAAATCGAATTATTTTTTGTTTGTTTGTTTGTTTGTTCAGGTAGTGTGTCTGAACAACGCACTTTTGACCAACGCAATTTTTTAAAAAAGAAGTGCATTCCTTTTTAATTTTTTTTAAACATGTATGGACTTTCTTTCATTGGTCCTTATAAGATCCCCTGCATTAACCAGCCACCTCCTGGATCCTCCCTCTAGAAAGTTGTCTTGCTTCTGTTCAGCAATCAGCACATAGGAAATCTCAAGCATGAACTCATGTTCTGTGGTCAGGTTTTTCCCTAGTTTTGCACCTTGCTTTTTTTCCCAATGCAGCAATCGCTTTGTTCAAGAAGAAAAATCTTTTTGTCGTGACAGAAAATATACAGATATTATTTTTAGTCAAAAGCAATTCTGAAGTTGATCAATGTATAATAATAAAAATATCTGTAATATTGATCAAAATGATAACCTTGGGCTGGCATTCAGCATGTTATAAATCTTCGCAGAGACCTTAGCCTTCAAACAATAAATGTGAAACATATTACAAGAGCCTCTCTAAAATTTTCCGGTTTGTTTCCCAGTAAATAATTAGTAATTGTTCAGGTTTCAAAATCTTCTAATCCTGTGATACTTTATGATACAATTTGACAAATATTTTAAAAGAAGTTATTCACCACAAAGCTAACGGCTAAGACCTTTAGTTAAAGTATGATTCTTGGCTCTCTTGAAGCTAAACTTCCCACAGAAACGCATTCCCATCGATGTCTCGGAGGAAACCTGGAATGTGTGTCCTTGATTTTTTTTCTTAATGTATGGATATTGGTTTCAGTCTCCTGGGATACATTGCAGCAATGTCATGATTATGAACAGCCGAGAATTAAAAAAAAATCAGCCCAGTCCAGCCAACTTCTGGTTCTGATGGTACTGAGAGTGAACGAATGTTTCAGTGGTTCCTTTGTTTATTTATAGGTTTAATGGGTGCCCCATAATCCCTGTTGCTGCTAAACCCGGAGGACCTGATGCTCCAGAGACAGAGACTGCACAGGGCATATCTGAACTCATTGAGGTAAGCCTATCCGAAGAAGCCCTTATAGGGGCAGTCTGATGGGCAATTTGCAAGCCCTCGTAATCTACTCACAAATGTGATACTATTTCAATAACGCATTTTAGAGAGGCCAGAAGGATGGAGCGTGCCAGCGATGTCAGAGGGGAAACCGATACCCCATCTTAGGTATATCTTAAAGATCCCATGACATCTTGAAAAGAGAAAGGAATTTCTCCTGGCGTCAATCTTCTTGGCCAAAAATGGCTGCCATATTTGCTTACATAAAACATTTTCAGCACTTGACTATAATTCTGAAGTCCTTTGAGATGGTTTGTCATGATAAGGTCCTATAATAATACAAGTTGCTTTGTTTCTGTAATAGGATTTTGATTGACTTATGATTCAGTGCTGCTCCCTTTCCTTTTCTTGCTCTTCTGCAAAAGAAGATGCAGAATGCCAGTTTTCATAAAGCCTATTTCAAGAGATCTTTTGATCCTAGAGTCTCCCTCTTTCTATAGGGAAGTGACTGGCTACTCCACATGCCTCTGTTTACCTAGCATAAGTAGGAACCCGTTGTTAATCGATTGGCAGATTGTTTTTCCACGGGTGATATTTCCTTCAAAAAGAAAAAAAATGATTTGGTCACTCAATCCATGACTATTTGTGGGACATTGCTGTGCGCAATTGGCTGCCGTGTTTTGCCCACAAAATATACAGTCAATTCACTTTACAGTATATTCTGTGAAGCGATTTGAGACGTCTCGAAGACATGATAAGGTGCTATATAAAATGCAAGGATTATTATTATTATGGTGCTAAAGTTTTGCATGCAAATTCATTTTAATTGTGCTGGGGTGAATTTTGATTGAAACAATGAAAACATTTAACTGAAACCACCCAGTTAACAATGCACCATTTATATTTTGGTTCCACTTCAGTCGGTAAACCACCAACATGAGATAGACTCTGTACTTCTAAAACCCATTCCGTTTTTTTTTTCTTCATTCTTTGCTCTTCAGTCCTTTTTTTAAAAAAAAATTCCTTTCTCTTTATTCCTCTTGACGGTTCCTGACAGACTGTGTATCCTGTGTGTTTATTTTCTTGTCCCAGCTCCTGAAGTCGCAGACGTACCTGCCAAAACGTGATCCTTCAGGATCCTTCCTCATGGCTGTTGACCACTGCTTCTCGATCAAAGGTCAGGGGACGGTGATGACGGGAACCATCCTCTCTGGGTCTGTCAGCGTTAATGACAGCGTGGAGATTCCATCCCTCAAGGTAACAACCTGCTTATAGAACATTAAGGGTCCTGTTTGGCTTTCTTCTCGGGGAAGGGGAGCGAAGGGCGAGCATTCAAACTACAAACAATAATTACATTTGACTGCAGCCCAGTATTTGAAACCAAGGCGAAGCTTTTAAATTGAGTATTATGCTCAAATTAGATACTGTGTTCTTTTGAAGTTTTCGATCCTCTTTTATATAAAGCATCACAAGTTGTACTAAAATTAATCTTTACGGGTACTGTCCATATAAAATAATAATGTTTGCGTTTGATATAGCGCCTTATCACATCTTCGAGGCATCTCAAAGCGCTTCAGAGAATATGCTGTAAAGTCAATTGACTGTATATTTTGTGGGCAAAACATGGCAGCCAATTGCACACAGCAGCGTCCCACAAACAGTGGTGGATTGAGTGACCAAATTATTATCATCATTTATTTATTTATTTTTGAAGGGATTATTACCCCCTAGAAAACCTACTGTAGTTTAAGAAGAACTGTAGTTGTTCTGACTTTTTGTCTTCCTTTGTTTATCTTCCTTCCCCCTCCCCCCGCCAACTGCAGTTCAATATGGCGAGTGGATATTCCGTGTTGAGGTGGTACACATGTGGAACTCTGTTTGCTTTGGCCACTCTGAGACAATCTCAGATAATGTATTTCTGAGTGAAAGTGTTTCCGAGCATGTCAGACACCTGGCTGACCACAAAGTTGCACTACAAAGTGATAGGTCGCCAACAGGCTCCCCAGATCATGGTTGATAACGAAATGGGTGCTGCGGAAGCCAAGCACTTTCCACGGTGGGTGAGAGAGAGAGAGAGAGAGACTCCCAAGTGAATCACCCTAATTTCATAGAAATCCTCCAAGCTTCCAGCAACAACAACAACAACTTGCACTTATACAGTGCCCTCCACACAGTGCAGAGTGTATCCCCTCACGTCCAAATTGCCTACACTTGCAGCAATTTCCAGCAAAGCTCATTGGATAGGTTTCAGGACTGAGAGAGATCCCTTCCTGATGTACCTCACCTCGCAACCCAAGGCACTGAGGTCAACACTATTATTGCTTCAGCTGAGTCATCTAACTCAGAACAGCCTGAGGATTAAACCTGTAGTTGCCAATTCACATTGTTTGGGGGTTAAGTATCTGTTCAGGTTTTTTTTTCTCAATAATGAACGACGGCCACAGTATACGAACTGAACATTCACTATGTGGTAAATGAAGAATTTCCACATCTTGATGAAGTCTGTTGTATAATTAAAATCTCCATAAAGAATAATATCTGGGTCGCTCTCCAGTTTATAAAAGACATTCTTTACCCCTCCCCCAGCTGAAGAGTTGAAATAATGTTGTGTTCCCGGCAATTGTTGATTTCCAACCCTAATGTTACATCAGTCTCCGTGCATGATTCTCAGAATAGTTTCGCCATCAAATATACGGTCATTTCACTTTACAGTATATTCTGTGAAGCGATTTGAGGCATCTAGAAGACGAGATAAGGCGCTATATCAAATGGAAGGATAATATTATATACTTTGTCAAATGCAAGGATTATTATTATTTATATCACCCACAAAATATACACAATCACATCAATTTACAGCCTATCCTGCAAAATGTTTTGAGACATCTGGACGAATAATAAGGGGCTTTATCAAATGCAAGGATTATTCAATCAAATTCACACTATATTCTGTGAAGCGCTTAGAGACGTCTCGAAGATGTGGTAAGGCGCTATATCAAATACAAGGATTATTAATTTATTATCGCATACACAGGGGTGGGTAGAGAAAATGCCAACTGTGCACTTGTTAACATGTTTCACACTACTGTCCAGCAGATGGAAGGGAAACTTGGGGCTGATTTTGTTCTTGGAAGAACTTAGGTGCGGGGCCAGACCCCTGTTGCAAGATACCACCAGTGTTGAATAGCATAGGAGAGAAAATGAGACAAACCATGGCACATTGCTTAAGAATACCGACTCCAGAAACCATTCTCTCCTACTTGTAAACGTTCCCCCAGCGAGACCTTAACTGACCCGTGTTGACAGCCCTTTCAAGGCCTATTAGGAGTTTCTATTGACCCTTACGGCTGACACTCCAGCCCCAAGCACCGTAGGGACATGGATTGCTTCATATTTAGGTTTCAGTCTGAATTTAAACACTTATGACTGTCTCAACCCTATGCTGCTAGACTGCTTCAGTCAGATTTCAACAGACTTTTTTTCGGTGCTGGTGAGTCCACTGATTGGAAGATTGGGGTGAACCCGGACTGCTGAGATGTATTGCTGTGCATCTAGCCAGCTGTAATTACCATCTGGCAATGATTACTTGTACTAACAGAGAAAAATCATTACATTCTACACTCGTAGCAAAAAAGCCATTAGAGCAATCATAGTTTAGATTTGGTGGGATTCTGTTGGCGCACTCTCGATCTTTGTTTTACTTTGCACTTGTTTTGTGTTTTCAGAGAAATTGACTGTAAATGGAGTTAAATTTTTCCAGCACACAGTGATGAAATCTTGTGCATTTGGTTCTTTTGAACCCATTAATATTGTTTTAACCCATTGCAGCAAGTGCAAGCTTTCTGAGTTGCCTCGCTTGGACAGCCATTGCAGTACAGCTGAAAGATCAAGTCAGTTTTAAGCGGAGGAAAAAAGTAATCCTTGTTGCTTTGATAAAATTGTACTCAATATATTAGGAAGCACCTCTATGGATGTCTATTTTAAAGGACCCATATTGTGTTTGTGTACATGTGTATATGTGTGTGTTGTTTATTTAAGAACTTAAATTACATATTCAAGATTGAGGTTGATGGATTTCTAAAGAATAGAGGGATTAAAGGAATTAAAGGATATGGAGATAGGGTGGGTAAATGGAATTAGGTTAGAAAATCATCCATGATCTTATTAAATGGTGGGGCAGGATCGAGGGGCCGAATGTCCTGCTCCTGTGTCTTATGGTCTTAAGCGCTCAGAGATGCTCCACACACAAATAGCGCTATATAATGCAAGTTGTTCTTGTTATGCTTATTAAGCAGTGTGTGTGTGTTTGTATGTGTGTGTATTGTGTGTATGTTTGTGGATACGTGTATATCTTTCTCTCTCCCCCCAAAAAAACTAAAACCTCAAAGATAATTTATAATCCTTGTCAATGCTCCTGGTTGGGGTCTCCTTGTCCAGTGTTGTGGGTGGAGGAAATTCCAGGCAGATCACATTGTTTCGAAAGGAAATATCCAGTCATCTTCAATTGCGGTAATCTAATTTGAGGACAAGAATTTCCCACTGCAATCACATCCTTTGTTAGAAAACCAGCCAAAACTATGCAAGAAATACTTGAGACAGCAATCTTTTCTCCACATTTACATTGCCACATCTGAAGGACATCCCAGTGTGGGCACTTGCGGACAGTTTTTTTTAGAATGGCTTAGAACATTACGGTAGGGACCATCAGTGAACAATTAGACAAAATTGATATATGTTGATTCTCCCAGTTTTGTAAAGTCTAGATTCTCTAATGTGTTGTCCTGGAGTTTATGGCTGTGTGCAGCGAAAAGCAACTCTTGTATTTTAACTGTTCCAATACTTCAAATTGTAGCACAAAATCAAACTTAAACTATCCAGGTTTACTGTGTTCGTTGGCATTCGCAAATGCTTGAGCTTAATCTCCACGTGAATGGGCTTTTAAGACTGAAGATGGTATTCACCATTGATATCTTGACCGTCACCAGAGAAAGCAAACTTTTATTCTGCTTCAATGCAGCCAACTGATACAAAGGCTCTTTAACTAACATTTAAACTAACGTGACCACAGGCTGATCATTCTATGAGCCGTACCCAGAGGGCAGAGGCGTAAAGGGTGCCTAGCTGCCTGTCTGGATTTCTTTGCTCTTTAAGAAGAAATCACACCAACTGTATACTGTATAAAACATGCAGCAACCGCTTCAGGGCATGTGTGGCTCTACAAGGTAGTCAGTGGGTCTGGAAGATACTGTAAACTGCAAAGTGAGGATTGAGCAGTTTTCAAACATTGTCTGAGCCCCAAATCACAATTTTTGGCGATGTGCGTGATTTAATGATCTTGGCACAGTTTCAAAACATTCCCATTAACCACCTTTGGAGTTTTTTTTCTATTACCATTAGTATTGTGGCTGCTACGTTTTTACATGTAGTTTTTTTAAATTTTTAATTATTGGGAAAGAGTTGTTTTATGACGTATGTTGGACCAGAGATAATATTATGATAATAATAATCCTTGCATTTGTTACACAATAACAGGTCTGCCTCCTGAGAGCAATGGTATTTCTAGTTATGTTATACAATATCTATTCGTCTTATGTTTTTGTAAGTTCCAACTATGTGATGAAAGAAATGTGTCAGTGGAGGTGCAGCAACCAACAGCTTTAACACTGTGTTTCAGCGTCACCCTGGCTCAGATGGTAGCTCTCTTACTCTGCGTCAGAAGGTTGTGGGTTCAAGCTCTGTCAGGACTCACCATCTAGGCTGACATAACAGTGCCGTGCTGGGAACATGCTGCAATGTCCAATGTGCTGTCATTCAAATGAGTGGTTAAACTGATGTTGCTTCTCTGTGTTCAAATGGACATTAATGATCGCATGACATTATTTGAAAGAAAAATGGCATTTCCCTAGAGCTGGATAGTCAAGAGTTTGCACCCGAGCTGGAGATTGGATTCAGGAACTCAATCTGGGGGATGGGGAGCGAGCGGAGCTGGACAAGGATGGGAGTAATAGGCTTGCTGGGGGGGGGGGGGAGTAGGGGGGGTACAAAGGCGTGGTCAAAGAGGAAGGTCTTCAAACCTACCTTGAAGGAGGTGAGGGATGGAGTGAGACACAGGGACTCCGGATTGGGAATTTAGAGAGTGGGGGCAGACAGACTGAAAACCCGACCCCTGATGGTGGGACGGAGGACGGGATTTAAAAGTGAGGATGAGGATCTTGAACTCAATCTGGGGGATGGGGAGTGAGCGGAGCTGGGCAAGG